ATAGACACTACAGGTATACAATGCACATGGTACAGATATACAATGCACATAAACAATGCAATGTTCAAAATGTCACCAGACCGAGAACAACAGATGGCCCAAACATGAAGGTCATACAGGCAGGCAGGAAGAGTACTGTAGCGCCAGATGTGTTGACCTTGACCTTTGCCTGATGAAGGTCACGAAGAAGTGGGTCGATCCCCTGGGTGGGTGCCTGCAGTGACGCCGTGCACATGAATGTTTCTCTCAGGAGGAACACTTACGATTCTTGGTCTCTTAACTAGATGAGGTGTGAGAGTCATAGTTTTATCTTGGATTGGTTATATTTTTCGTTATACGGATGATACTTGTGGTTGATATCTTTGGTAGGATGATAATGGTGATATTTTATGTGTTATCAATGGTGAAATGTGTAGGTATACTCGTAACTATGCTCAGGACGTCAGTGAAATATCTTGGTGAAATCTGTTCGTAAAATATGCTGGCGAAAAAATCTCATGGGATATGCTGGTGAAACTTGCTCGTAATATATGCTGATAGAAAATCTTCCGGCATATGGTGGTGGAATATGCTCATGAAGTATGCTGGTGAATTATTCTGAAGTATGCTCGTCATAATAAGCGTGTGGACATTACCGGAATCTCAGGAAAACCGGTGGAAAAAGTTTGTTGCGTGTGTGTGCGTGTGTCTGTGTGTGTGTGTGTGTGCGTGCGTGCGTGTGTGTGTGGGCGTGATTGTCATCTGGCTGTGAAGCGACCACCAGATCAATACCTCTCCTCCTAACTTTCCAGACGCTCCGATAAATAAAGTGTCCGTTGTGTCATCTCTCCCCCCCCAAAAAAAACCAGGTTAGATAATGTCATGTTTGTCCCTGAGAAGTTTAAAGGTGTGTTGTGTACCCATAAAACAGGTGTGATTGTATACCCACCAAAAAGCGAGTACCGTTAAGTTGATACCTAAACACGGGGTTGATTAAGGTGTGTTGAATTTCCTAAGATTTGGGTTTCATTAAGTTTATGTTGTCCCTAAATTGGGTTTGTTTGTCCTATTTTGTCCTTAAAATGGGTTTGTTTATGTCCATTTGTCTCTCTAAATTGGGTTTGTTTATGTCCATTTGTGTCCCTAAATTGTGTTTGTTTATGTCCTATTTTGTCCTTAAAATGGGTTTGTTTATGTCCATTTGTGTCCCTAAATTGGGTTTGTTTGTCCTATTTTGTCCTTAAAATGGGTTTGTTTATGTCCATTTGTCTCTCTAAATTGGGTTTGTTTAAGTAATTTTGAGGGTAATTTTTTCACAGCTGGTAAAATTACTTTAAAATATTTAAATGGATGAAAATTTAAGTCATTAAAAATCTCTAAAAATGATTCAGATTTTAAATTGTTGTCGTATGTTTTAAATCAATTAAAGTTTAGGGATCACGTAAAGATTAGCACCCCAGGCTTAGGTCACCTGGTGATTAAACACCCTCACTCTACCTGTAGGGTTAGATTAGGTTAAGTTAGGTTGTGTTAAGTTAGCTCCATGTTAGATTAGGTGGAATTAAGTTAGGCCATGTTAGGTTAGCTCGGTGTTAATTTTGGCTAAGTTAGATAGGGCTAAGTTAGGTCGTGTTAGGGTTCGTTAAGTTAGGTCGTGTTAGGTTAGGTTGGTTAATCTAAGGGTGAAACAAGTTGTGGCTCGGCTAATCTTTATGTGATCTAGATTTAGGTCGTTAAACTATATTTTAAACTGGATTAAACTTTGGGGTCGTTGTTACCGTTCAGCTGGCAATTAATTTTTGCCCGAGAGGTGTGTGTGTGTGTGTGTGTGTGTGTGTGTGTGTGTGTGTGTGTGTGTGACAGCAACTATCAATAACCAGTGTTCGACAAAAGTCTTTATGCTATTTGCATTACATAACACCAATTAATACATTCAGGCTTTTTGGTTTTAAAGCTAAATTTTCCTTATTAAATTTTAATACAGTTATACTTAATTTAATTGAGATGAAATTTAATAGTTACAGCGGCCTTCGTTATGTAAATATGTTAGGAACTCATTTACATAATACAGTACACTGAGCCGTGTGGAAAGAGATAATTACAGTACCTTATATTGGGTATAATATGTCGGTTAATGTTGCCTGTAATATATTTATGAAACTAAAACAATAAGCTGCTGGATTTTTGTAATTATTTGTTGTATTAATCTGTATTAGAGAAAAATGTTATTCTTGTATTACAAATAAGTTATGAATACTTATGTATGATATAATTGGCTGGTTGAATTTTAATGTAAAGTAATGTGAAGAATTATATTAAGGTGTAGAGTCCCTTCAATAGGATTAAATTAAGGAGATATAAAAGCCTTTTGTGATGTAAATTACAGCTAAGAACTCAAAGGCATGGCAGAGGAAGCCATTTAAATTAAAATACATAACTTAAGCATCGTATGAAACTGTACAGAGGTGGAATTTATATGTAGTAAAAGTAAATAGTGGTTGAATGTCTAATATGCTGCACATAACAGTGTAATGCAGTACAAGAAGCTGACTTAAATACTGTGAAAAACTGTAGTAAGCTGTTCTGTAATAACGAAATGATATATTAATGATAACAGGCACGAGTATATTACAGTAAGTTGCCTGGATAATACTGTAATAAACTTTACTGTAATTACGAAGTGATTTATTGATGTGACAAGTATGAATACATTAGTGTAATACAGTAATTTGTCTGGGTAATCACACACGGTAAAAATAGCCGGGAAAATTTCATTACATTATACTTTCATGGGAAGGAAATTTAGTACAGTACTTAATTTTGTCGGTAATATACAGTACATAACAATTTCATTACAGAGATTTACAGTACTGTATTGTAGTGTGAGTACTTTACTGTGCCTGCTGTATTAGTGTAAAAGGATAAAAATTTTAGCTTTCCTTTAACTGGAAGGTAATTTATTAATAATTTATCATTACAATATAAATTACAGCTGTGATTACATTTATTTTAGCATGGTAATGTAATTGTAATTATTTAAACGTTTCATTATGTTGCAAAGTAAATACATTAAAGGTGGTTAATATTTAGGTGAAATAAACTGGGGTGGCTATTCTTCAGGTCATCCTATACAGTGTTTTAAATGTGACGAAATAATTTAGTACTGTATTAAGTTGCATTTTTTGTATTTTAGTTGAATACAGTAAGTTGTTTGGGTCTGGTTAATGATATAGTGTTACAGATTATAGTTATGAAATTTCTTAGTGATCTCTTTGTATTATAAGGAACGGCTGTAAATACATAAGCTTGATACGATAACCTGTTAGATTTTTAATACGTGACTTCATTAGTAACAGAACAATTACAGGACTAAGCGTGTTATGAAACTGTAATTGCTGTAATCTTTGTAATGTAGATGTCTATTACAATTTGCTGTACATAAGTTTAATACAACAAGTCGTTTAAATTTTAATTAACTTCATTAGTGTAACGAACTGTAATTATCTGCACAATTAATGTAATAAAAATCAATTTTTGTTTGTAATATATCTTTAATACATGTAATTGCAGTGAGTGGTTAAAGCAATCTCGATAAAATACAGTACTGTTTAAGGGGTGAATACTGTAATTTAAATAATACAGTAAATGTTTGGGTTTTGTTCTCTGTAATATGCTCATTGTGAGTGCCTTTAATTACAGTTAGTGGTTACAGCAATCAAGGTGAGATAAACTTGGTGTGAATACTGTAAAATAAGTACAGGGTGATGCAATAAGCTGTTTGGATTTTATGTGGGGCCATTAATCTGACAGACACTGTATCTGTACTTTAAGCGGAGTGACGGCTAATTGTTGGTTGCTACGTCTGTAATTAAGGCGACAGGAAATAATTAAGTTTCACGGGGGAAGTTTTGAGAGGACAGTTGTTATGATGGTGAGTGTTGGTAGTGTCTCGTGTCTTGGTAGTTAGGCTGGGGAGAAATAATTAGGTGTTCACCGTGTATGTGTGTGTTTGTGTGTGTGTTTGTGTGTGTATATGTGTGTGTTTGTGTGTGAGTACGTGTGTATGGTGTGTTTGTGTGTGTGTATGTACTGTGTGTGTGTGTATGTACAGTGTGTGTGTGTATGGTGTGTTTGTGTGTATGTATGTACAGTGTATTTGTGTGTACAGTGTGTGTATGTACAGTGTGTTTGCGTGTACAGTATGTGTGTGCATATTATGTCTTTGTGTGTAGTGTGTGTTTGTGTGTGTACAATATGTGTGTGTGCATATGTACAGTGTGTGAGCGCTGCTGTAAATTATAAAAACTACAATATTAAGTTTTATACAGTTACAGCATTTGGTATTGTGATAAGCGAGTAGAACTGTAATACTGTATTCGACTTTTGTAACGCTAAGCAGTTGTGGTGTGAATTAGTTTATTACAGGAAATTAACTTCTGTAATGTAGACATCTGTATTTCCAAAAATCTGTGAAATTTATTAATTTAATACAGAAAATTAAATTAGGTTGGTTATATTCTGTAAGCCTGGCTGTAATATACTGTATTTACTGGGGACACTAGATAGTTATGTAATTACTGTAATTTAGTTTTGTGATTACTGTAATATACAAAAATAGTTACAAAATACTTTCGTTATATATAGAAAATTGTTCAGGTTTAATGATTATTCAGTGGTTGCGGCTGTAATATTACTTTCAGTGGTTGCGACTAACACATTTCAGTGGTTGCGGCTGTAATATTACTTTCAGTGGTTGCGACTAACACATTTCAGTGGTTGCGGCTGTAACATTACTTTCAGTGGTTGCGGCTGTACCATTACTTTCAGTGGTTGCGACTAACACATTTCAGTGGCTGCGGCTGTACCATTACTTTCAGTGGTTGCGACTAACACATTTCAGTGGCTGCCGCTGTAATATTGGCAATAGTTTGGATATAATTTTAGTTTTACACAAAAAGTTGGCGGGTGAGGGAAGGTGGGGACATAATGGAGCCAGTCTAAGTGTTAGTAAATAATAGGCAATGAAACAGACGCCCGCGCTCTCTGTTGTATCCTCCTGTTGGTGTAGCGTCGCCTGCTGTGTCACGCCCGCGCCCTCTGTTGTATCCTCCTGCTGGTGTAGCGTCGCCTGCTGTGTCACGCCCGCGCCCTCTGTTGTATCCTCCTGCTGGTGTGGCGTCGCCTGCTGTGTCACCTCCTCTATTTGCTTATCCTCTGCTGGTGTAGCGTCGCCTGCTGTCTGCACCGCGCCTCTGCCGGCCTTATCCTCCTGCACCGGTGCGTCGCCTGCTGTGTCACGCCCGCGCCCTCTGTTGTATCCTCCTGCTGGTGCTTGGCGTCGCCTTTGTGTCGCGCCACGCCCTCTGTTGTATCACTCCTGCTGGTGTAGCGTCGCCTGCTGTATCACGCCCGCGCCCTCTGCACCTTATCCTCCTGCTGGTGTAGCGTCGCCTGCTGTGTCACGCCCGCGCCCTCTATTTGTATCCCCTCCTGCTGGTGGCAAGCGTCTGCCTGCTGTGTCACGCCCGCCTCTGCTGTATCCTCCTGCTGGTGTGGCGTCGCCTGCTGTGTCACGCGCGCCCTCTGCTGTATCCTGCTGTTGGTGTAGCGTGCGCCTGCTGTGTCACGCCCGCGCCTCTGTTGTATCCTCCTGCTGGTGTAGCGTCGCCTGCTGTGTCACGCCCCGCCCTCTGTTTGTATCCTCCTGCTGGTGTATGGCGTCGCCTTGCTGCTGTGTCACGCCCCGCCCTCTGTTGTATCCTCACCTGCTGGTGTGTAGCGTCGCCTGCTGTGTCACGCCCGCGCCCTCTGCCATGCTCCTGCTGGTGTAGCGTCGCCTGCTTGCTGCGCCCGCGCCTCTGTTATGTCCTGCTGGTGTAAAAAATCGCCTGCTGTGTCACGCCCGCGCCCTCTGTTGTATCCTGCTGGTACTTGATGTTTGTACCGCATCTTAATATTGGATAGTGAACACAATTAGTCACTATATCGCTATGGTGTTCATAATAGTGAATAGTGAAAGAAATTGCCGCTATATATTGACACGGTGTCCGTAATAGTGAATAGTAAACAAACTAGTCATTCAATGCCGCTATGTTCGTAATGAAAAATAGTGAAAATTTTATATTTATTCACTTGGTGTTCGTGTTAATAATGGATGACGCCCAAAATATCCCTAAACACGGCGTGCAGGGAAATAGTCCATCGCTCGCTATTGTGCATCCGACAACTTCACAGGATTACGGAAAACAAAACAAAAACTGGTAAAATTGTTGTTGACAGTAATAGGTAGAGTGTGTTGGTGATGATCGGCTGGCCCACTGACCCCTCATAATAACACAACTGTGGCGGCCTGGATTAGGTTAGGTTAGGTTTTGTTATGGTTTGACTGAATCTGGTTAAGGTTAATTTATAGTTGATATGGCCAGGTCAAGGTCAGCTATAATCGATGGCATGGTTAGGTCTAGGTCAGCTATAATCGATGGCATGGTTAGGTCTAGGTCAGCTATAAATCGATGACATGGTTAGGTCAAGGTCAGCTATAATCGATGACATGGTTAGGTCTAGGTCAGCTATAATCGATGACATGGTTAGGTCTAGGTCAGCTATAATCGATGACATGGTTAGGTCTAGGTCAGCTATAATCAATGACATGGTTAGGTCTAGGTCAGCTATAAATCGATGACATGGTTAGGTCTAGGTCAGCTATAATTGATGACATGGTTAGGTCTAGGTCAGCTATAATCGATGACATGGTTAGGTCTAGGTCAGCTATAATCAATGACATGGTTAGGTCTAGGTCAGCTATAATCGATGACATGGTTAGGTCTAGGTCAGCTATAATCGATGACATGGTTAGGTCTAGGTCAGCTATAATCGATGACATGGTTAGGTCTAGGTCAGCTATAATCAATGTCATGGCCAGGTGTAGGTCAATCAATTATCATCATCATTAACCCAGGATCCACACGTATTGGTAACTAACAGCTCTGCGTGTGTTTTATGACCTGGTAAATATTTGCTCACCAGGACTTTTATTTTCTACATAAATTTTGGCACCAGATCTGTAACGAATATTGATCGGAAAACGAACACGGATTTGGCGGCCGCTTCGAATTTGGAATATGTTGCTGTGTACGGGAGGGGGTGGGGGGAGAGGAGGGTAGGGAGAGGTAAAGGGAGAGTGTGAGGAGAATGAGGTGAGAGTGTAAGGGAGAGAAGGAAGGGGAGGGGGTGAAGGTAAGAGGTTAGGAACGGGAGGTGAGGTGAGGGAAGGGGTGAGGTTAATGTCAGGAGGTGAGGGAGAGGTTAAGGAGGGAACGAGAGGTGAGGGAGAGAGGTTAAGGAGGGAACGAGAGGTGAGGTGAAAAGGGAGTTGAGTTAAGAGGGAGAGGAGGAGGGTTCAGGTATGGGGAGAGAGGGGGGGTGGGGAGGGGGCTACCAACTACAGTATATATATTTTCGTGTGTATGAAAATCTCAACTGTTGGGGGACTTGTAAAAATAAGAGGCTTACTTGCCACTCTAACCTCTTCAGAGTTTTTAAATAACCCAAGTTGTTAAAGAAGGAAGTAACTTTGAGGAGTATTATATGTTAGTGAAGTTCCTCTTACTTACGGCGGTGATGTGAAGACCTTATTAATACTTACACACACACACACACACACACACACATGTACACCCGTGTTCTGTGTGGTTATAAGCTTCTGGATCCACTTAGCTACATTTCCTCCCTCAATTATTATTCTGCTTTATCGTCTTTCTGGCTGGAAACGGATTATTTTGTCCCCCTATTGATTGTTAAGATACAGGGCTATTATTATATATCACACTACAGAGATTACATTTAAAATACATAAAGGGCCGTAGTTATTGGGTAGTGCTGACGTGGGCGTGTTTAGAAAGGGCCGTAGTTGTTGACAGTGTTGGGTAGTGCTGACGTGCTGACGTGGGCGTGTGTTTAGAAAGGGCCGTAGTTGTTGACAGTATTGGGTAGTGCTGACGTGGGCGTGTTTAGAAAGGGCCGTAGTTGTTGACAGTGTTGGGTAGTGCTGACGTGGGCGTGTGTTTAGAAAGGGCCGTAGTTGTTGACAGTGTTGGGTAGTGCTGACGTGGGCGTGTGTTTAGAAAGGGCCGTAGTTGTTGACAGTATTGGGTAGTGCTGACGTGGGCGTGTTTAGAAAGGGCCGTAGTTGTTGACAGTGTTGGGTAGTGCTGACGTGTTTCTTTTTTTTTCCTCCACACACAGAATCAAATATTGACCTTGGTATCACATGTGTTGGTATTTAATTCACCCTGAGCCGAAACAAAACACACAAGCAACACTCTACTGTTAATATTGTAGACGTATTTCTTGTCTGTCAGGGAACGGAGCGGTGGGGCTGCTTCTTCCAAGAGGTTCATCCGGTTCACTGTCTTCCTTGACGTGTCTCGCTGTTCCGAAAAGGTGTTCGTATTTTTACGTTTATCGCGAGGTTATATACTACACGGTATATATCTTTAGTAAAATTGTAGTGGTGTTTATAGGCTTTTTCTTATTGGTCATTGTATTTTATTCTCGAAAGTTTGTTCCTGTTTAGAAATGTGTTGGAGATGAGATGCCACAGCGCCATATACTGTACACACACCAGCAGTTCAGAGACTCGTTCTATTTTCATATTTTCAACATTTTTCAGACGATCGCCTTCACCCAAGTGGAAAAGGAGGCAATCGTAAAATTTCTCCACTTTGGCCAATTTCCAAATCTTTTCAAAAATTTTCCCTTTAAAGTAATTTCAGGTTATTGTCTTGCCTCTTGACTTTACATATACCAAGTTACCTTTGATATCATTCAACTGATTTATTAATATTTTATCATAGAACTTCCTTTTATCTCCAGTGATGAGGAAAATTCTCTACATGAACCTTTATGTTATTGTTATTGTTGTTATTTTTTGTGATTTACCGTATTAGAACTAGATGAGGATCACATGAACATTAGACACCCCACTTATTTCATTTAGTGATTCAACACCCTGACGCTACGCCTGTGTTTGGTTAGGTTAGCTTTGGGGTGTTTAATGACCTGGTGCAATTAGCTGTGGTGACCCTGGACGGTGGTATAGTGAACTGTGGTGACCCTGGACGGTGGTATGAGCTGTGGTGACCCTGGACACTATAACTCCCGGTATTGTGTGTTGTAGCGAGCTGTGGTGACCCTGGACACTATAACTCCCGGTATTGTGTGTTGTAGCGAGCTGTGGTGACGTTCAGTATACTACATATATAATACAAAGCCTCGCCTTTCTCCTATACCACATACTGGGGACTCAAAGGACACTAAGATATAAGGTATATTATATATATTATAATACAGAAGAGGAAGGTCAGGTTATATTGCCGTCGACCCATTATATAGATAGGGCATAAATCCTCTCTTGGTGTGGGGGAGGGGGTGGTCAGCTGATAGCTTTGTGGGGGCGTCATCCTAGGTCCGGTTTCCCCCTCTACTACGCCAATCTAGTCTTTCATGTCAGCTTCAGTTCCGTGCGTATTTTCAGGTTGGTTTTGATTCAAGCTGATGTGGAGATTCAGTTTGTATTTTAAGCTTGGTTTGAATTTTAGCTGATGTGAGAAGCCAGACCGTATGTTAATTTAGGTCTTAACTCAAGTCTCTACCCTTAATCCTAGCCAGTCCTCAATCCTAACCAGCCCTGAATCCTAACCAGTCCTGAATCCTAACCAGCCCTGAATCCTAACCAGCCCTGAATCCTAGCCAGCCCCCAGCAAGCCCTTGGCCCTAAGTATCCCTTAACCAGGACAGATAATACACGAATCTAGCTCTCATAAGGTCTTTATTATCGTCGTAAGTGTCGCCTCCAATCTCCTCTTCCTCTCCTTCCTCTTCTTTCTCTCCTCCTACTCTTCCTTCCCCTTCCTCTCCTCCCTCCCCTTCCCTTTCCTCTTCCCTCTTCCTCCTCCTTCCTATCCCCTCTTCCTTCCTCCTCTTCCTTCCCCCTCCTCCTTCCTATCCCCTCTTCCTCCCCCCTCCTCTTCCTTCCCCTCCTCTTCCCCCTCCTCCAATTCCTTCTCCCTCCCTTCCTCCCGTTATCGTCTTCTGCCTCTCTACCCAATATTTATTTCCCTTTTGTCAGATCTCTCACGCAATTCTCTTGATCTCTTTACCTTCCTTCTATCATATCTCCCTGTCTCCTGCCTTTATCGCTCGTCTCTCTTGTTCTCCCCCTTTCTCTTCCCTCGTCTGTTTATTCTCCATATTTCCCCATTCATCCGTGTCTTCCATTTTAGGGTTTTGTTCCTTATCTCACTTCCCCTTTTATCTTTCCCCTTCCCCTTTCCCCTTCTGCTTTCTCTTCCATCTCCCCGCTTCGTCTTCTCATCATTTTCGCTCTCCTTCTTTCGCCACCTCTCCTCCTCCTCCTCTTCTGGTCATCCATCTCAGGTTTGCCATCTTGTGTGCACCAGCTGAGACCTCCACACACACACACACACACACACACACACACACACACACACTTGACGTTATCAATATTTATTTAAAGAAATATTCGGGATTAAATATTAGTCAATAATATATGTGGTTAAAATTAATGTATTCTGTATTTAATAGAGAACATATTTCATACCAACTTCCTCCCCATCCTCATGCTAACCTCCCAACTTACCTCCCCATCCTCATTCTAACCTCCCAACTTCCTCCCCATCCTCATTCTAATCTCCCAACGTCCTCCCCATCCTCATTCTAATCTCCCAACTTCCTCCCCATCCTCATTCTAATCTCCCAACTTCCTCCCCATCCTCATGCTAATCTTCTCCCAACTTCCTCCCCATCCTCA